TCAGGATGACGTGCGCGTACTCCGGCGAAGTGTGTGCCGCACTTATAAACGTCCGTTTGCCGGTGCAGTCTACGGTGGCCTTGGCTCAATGTCGCATACCTGCCAGCCTGTGCTGCCGGCCAAGCATGTGACTACGTTCCTACGGACTGTACAACCTTCGTGCGCGCACGAATGCACTTCTGCGCTACGTGGCTGGCGTGAAATAGCCCGCCGCGCTGCGGCATGAGAGGACAGCTTGTGGAGCGGCGATGCGAGGTTTACTCGGGTCAGCCGAGGGGTCAGCGTACGTGAAACAAACTTAGCCGCGGTGGCAGATGGATTCTGGCCGCTATTTGTCACGATCCCCGCGGGAGCTGAGGTGTATATATGTTGTTTAGATCCATTTATTAATCCCGAGAATACTCGCGCGGCTTCTTCTTTTTTTCTCGGTTACACTCACTACTTTTGATCAATAATAGAGTAATAAAGATAATATTTCTTATCACTAAGCCGAATTTTCTATTACTATCTAAAAGGTAGTCTTTCTCAAGGAATACACCAAGTCAAGAGAAAGTCAAAATGACTTTATTTTGATACTATAAAAATATTGATCTTGTGTTCCAAAATTTAACTGTTTATTGACGTTAAAAATCAAAATAAAGTCATTTTGATTTTTTGTTGACTTTTATATGTTCTTTGATTCTTTACAATGATATTATTTGCGGCTCCGCAATTACCGTTTTTTTTATAATATATAATGAAATTAAGATTGAATCTTTGCAACATAATCGTAGACTTTAACAAAATTTCAATTTGGAGCTCTATGTTACACCAAGATATGTCACATATTTAATATTCCGTGAGCTGCCAGTTTATAAAAAATAATAATATACATAATAAAGTCACATAAAGCGCCAAACATATTTTGCAGTAATTAATAAATCGCTAGTTCTCTCCATTACGTTGCTTTTACTTTAAATATCGATGCAAGCAGGTGCTATGCGTAGGCGATGCACACAGTATACGGGATAATTTCCACAAGAGGAGGACATTTATCGTAGAAGTGTTCTGTTGAATCGACTCTCGACCATCGAGTCGTTCGAGGAGTGTTTTTTATTTCAACTGTTACGATGGCATCAATCATTCTAAAATAATAGCCAGAAAGGAGATTGGGTAGTAGTTAGAGAACACGAGACAATGTGCTTTCTGGGGAAAAGTAATACGAGAGCTGGCTTATCCGTAAATCTATGTAATTTATTCGCGATCTGAGCCACGACCGATGCAATTTTAATTTTACGACCGGCTTCGATTTTTCACGTATACACGCGCGTGCATACGCGTGCCCTCTTGTGCGAATAGCCCGTATAAGTACACGCGAAAGGGTTATTCGAAGGAAAGTGAGGCTGGACCACCGGCGCACATCATTAACATACCGATCGCCAAACTCGCTCAGGTGCCGAGTCAAAATGTTATGCATGGCGCACGATAATTACAGCAGATGTGGTGGCGGAGCAAGTCGAGGATTCTTATTAACCGTCGTTAATCCTATGTTGGTGGAATAGTGGTAGCAAGAAAGCGTTTATGATACAGGCCGCATACCTCCGAATCCGAATTGCCGTGAGGGAATAATCACGCAAAAGAATAAGCGGCTACGAACACCGATTTGAAAGCATCACTCCGGTGTATAATCGGACGATGCCTCGTTAATCGATACGTCTGATTATCAATTTAAATAGACGGAAACCTTTTAAACTGGAAATTATTCAGTGTTTATCAGAAAGAATATACTATATATTGATAGAATATTTTTTAATTAAAATTAATTAAAATAAATCAAGTCAATAGTTTTGTTGCTCTAAAAATAAATACAAGTAAAATGTCTACGTGGATTTTCGTGGTTTCAATGCGTAAATAAGGCGATAAGGTATAATTCGCAAATAATTGAAATGTATTTGCCAAGTGAAGTTAACTGCAAATTTAGTAATGCGTAAATATTCATTTTGATTGCATTTCAATTGCGATTGTTTGCGATTATATATGTTATTTGAAGATTTAATGATTTTATTTGCTCAACAGTATCAATAGCTGTAAAGTATTTTTCTCATAAACATTTATATCTGACTTGAAAATGAGAAATTAGTGTATCGCTTCGGGGGTTATTACTACTGTCTACGTCCTAACATCCCGTTATACGTACTCGCAACTGTACCGGATATGGAGAGCGTGAAATGATTATAGATCTGTCGCTTTGGGCCTGCCAAATTACAGGCCTCAGGGACGAGACGCATACGTGAAGAAACGTAATGCGTTCGCGGATGAATGCGAGCGGATACGCACTTGTGTATACATGTGTGCTAAATAAGATCAGGCGGAAACGGTAGTGCGTGGATAAGAGCACGGGATTATTTTGCTTCAGAACAGATTGTGGCCTACACGCAAAAGATATTTTATTCGCATGAATTGTAATGAAAGACGCTTGATTGCGTGTTCACGCGATTACTTCGGGGGATATACTTTAGAAAATAAAATAGTTTTAAGAATCTAATTACAATTAATATCTATAGTAGGAAACAAAATAATTCTAAAAACCTAATTAAAATTAATATTAGGTGTTAAACTTAATTCCTGCCGTTTTTCGTCTCCAAAATTGATTTGTTTCGAAGGGAAATACCTTAATCAAAGTATTATTAATAAAGTATTATTATTAGTTAGTAATAAAGTAGAAAATGGAGGAAATTATTTTGATTAAGGTATTCATTCATCTTCCCTTCGAAACAAATCAATTTTGGAGACGAAAAACGGCAGGAATTAAGTTCAACACCTAATATATTAGACAATAAGTTGATATAATTAATTTATAATCTAATATTTTCTTTATTTTATTCCATGTATATTATTATACTCTATTCACTCTGTTTTATCGTTACTGCAAACTGAACAATCTGCAGTTTGATAAAGCTAAAGTGCTATAGCGGATCTATACATAGTCTACGCCCTCGCCGATTCCTTTTCGCTCTCTCACCGCTATCAACATGCGCATTTGCTATTGTCGACTAATGTATAGGTGAATGGGGAACCGGCACACTGCGGAGGGAACTTCCGCAGCTCCAATTCTACGGTGCAGATCACCGTTTTATCGCGTAACAATAACGGAAGACGAAGAAGGCGATATGGCGAAAAGAGAGACGCGCAGCCGACTACGACTTCCGCGTAAGAAGTTATTAATTGCGGCCCTCGTTAACGGAATCGCGATTGTACGAACGTGTGCGAAAAGAATGAAAGTCGAACAACCGCGCGAGAGTTGCGTCACTGCCCGCAATCCGCAGTGACGTGTGAGAAACCACTTTTAGTAAACCCGCTATCCGAAAATCAACCGCGATCGACACGCAACAGTAGCTTGCGGAAAGCACAAATGCGACAATCCACTGTTTCAGATCGTTAGTTTCTCAGAACTGTTTTTAGATTACGCAGGTGACGATAATTTCTCTACGTGATAATTACGAAACCGGTTCACTGGTACACCAGACTTTCGTAACGGTTTTGTTTGCTCATTTGTGATAAATTTTCTCTTTATTACATCTATGTACTACATAATTTTAGATTTTTATGAATAGATTTTTATGAATGAATCCTACAATAATTTTAGATTTTTATGAATGAATAACAGAATCTCTGTTCTCTTGATTAAGGCATCTATCTCTCTTTGTTCAGGTACATTATACCGTTTGTTTCAATAAAGCCTTTTTTATAATTACGAAATATATTGTACAATTCAAAATTCGCAATTGTATCAGTGATAAAAATAGTCTGAGTTTCAACCATAATTTCTGTTAACGACGACAATAATTTAGCAATGTTACGTACTACATTAATCCGAGTACCGGAAAAGTAGCGTACCGTTGGGACGATAAGTATTCTCAAGCACCGTGATTGTGTACTCTCATTGGAATGTAGAAGGGTTCTTAACCATTAATTAAATTAACGCTCGAGTAAGCAGGAGATACGAGAAGGAAGCGAAATGGCTCTCGTCCTCCTCTCTCACTCGTTCAATTGGCAAGACGGAAGAATAGACGAACAAATGATGAGCAGTCATGCAAACGACACAAGAAGAATCAGTAGGAATCTTTTAATCTCTGTCTAATCGATTGATTATCTGATTTATCAATTGCTGTTCATAAACTGTTAAATATGTATATGTAAGTTTTTTAATCCATAAATCTGTTACATCTGTATATGCAAATACTACTGAGTTACAGACGTATACATGTGTAAATCTGCGTAGGTAGATTTGCTAAATCAATAAATTGCTTCGTCTAAATTTATTCGTCGAGCCATAAAATTCTCTTTCTCTAACGTTACGTTAAACAATCTAAAATTAAATTAATCATACACACGCGAACTCTCCTCCTCTCTTTGCTCTTTCATTTATGTTCTTTATCAAGAAACCAAGCAGACAAAATTATGTACCGAATACGATTTTCATTGATAAAGAGCATAAAACGCGTTAAGGTACAGCAAATCCTGGAATTTACCGGAAGTTACACGAAACGCAGATTATTATCGATGAGATAAACGACGATGATCGTCGCCAGTGGAGTGAAAGTCGACCTGTATCTCCACCTTTGATTCCGTAAATCTACCGTTCATTATCATATTTCCCTCAGCCATTTACATTCTTCTTGAATAAAATTACCGACGACGAGATCATAAAAAGGATAACTGAACGTTCAGCTCGCGAAGTACGATTGTTTTTTTAGATTTTTTTATGCCATTCATTTGTTAATATTATAACCAGTTAAAGGAAAAGATACTACTGATACTAACGCTATTAGTCGTTCTCCCTTTAACCTCTATTAGTCGTAAAACAAAGACAGAGTAACATTGATAGCGTCGTTTAGAACACACCCACAATGCTTGAAAACATTTACTTTACAAAGATTACTAGTATATTACGCGATAGGAGCTGTTGTGACGAGCAGTAGTACGCTACGACTCGCGGCAGCAGTATCGCTCTGTCAGTCACATTTTATCAAACGTTTAAAAAGAGATTGTAGAAAGTTCTTCTAATAACATCTGTTTGTGCAATGGAATATTGGTCGATATTATTATCGATAGTGATCGGTGTGATCAGCATTAATTATCTTTTTAAAAATTTTAATTTCTTTAAAAGAAATGGTATTATACACATGCCGCCTGTTCTATTATTTGGATCCGCGATGTCGGTTTTATTCCGTCGAATCTCATTCTTTGATTTCATGTTGAAGATATACAATTTCAATCCAAACGCAAAGTATTATGGATTGTACTTTACGACAACTCCAGTCTTCTTACTTCGCGATCTCGAACTCATTAAAACTGTTCTTGTTAAAAATTTCGATGCATTTCCAGATCGTCTTGGTTTTGCCGACGTTAACGATTCTTTATTTAAGAAAAATTTGTTTTCTCTTCGTGGAGAAAAATGGCGGAATGTGAGGAATCTGTTGAGTCCTTCTTTTACTTCCAGCAAGATGAAAATGATGTTCACGTTGATGTCGGAATGTGCTGTGGATTTTGCAAAATTTCTGTCGACATCATCAGCGGATAAAGTCGATATAAACATGAAAGACGTCTGCTCTAAATATACAAACGACGTCATCGCTACATGTGCATTTGGAATCAAAGTCGATTCTATGAAGGATCCAATGAATAAATTCTATATTTACGGCAAGGAGGCCAGTAACTTCAGAGGAGTCATTCGCAGTATAAAGTTCTTTTTTGTTGGGACGTTTCCGACACTTGGGCGAATTCTCAATATAAAATTTATGGACGATTATTTGACGAATTTCTTTAAGGATATTATAAGAACTACAATCGCAACTCGCGACGCAGAACACATTTCACGTCCGGATATGCTACAGTTAATGATGGATATCAGAGGCAAAGAAGGTCGTAGAGAATTAGACATCGACGACATGACTGCGCAAGCGTTCATCTTTTTCCTCGGCGGTTTCGAGACCAGTTCCACTGCAATGTGCTTCGCAGCTCACGAAATTGCAGTTAATCCAGAAATTCAGTTGAAATTACAACAAGAGATCGATAAAGCTTTGGAGGAGTCGAACGGAGAAGTGTCTTCTGAAGTTATAAATCGGCTCGAATATTTAGATGCGGTAATAAGTGAGGCTCTCAGATTATATCCACCAATGGCACTCTTAGAAAGGATATGTGAAAAAACTTTTGAATTACCATCCGCATTGCCGGACGAGAAACCTTTTATCATGAAGAAAGGTATTCTTGTTTGGATTCCTATTCTTGCAATCCATCATGATGAAAAGTATTACGACAATCCGAAGAAATTTGATCCAAAAAGATTTTTAAACAACAAGATCAACAATTCTTCGAATTATATACCATTCGGATTAGGACCGAGAATGTGCATAGCTAATAGGTTTGCCATACTGGAAATCAAAGTCTTGTTGTTTCACTTATTAGCGCGATGTGAGCTGAAACCTTCTGCAAAAACTACGTCCCCAATACAATTTGGCAAAGATTTCATGATAATGCCTAAGAATGGATTCTGGTTGAATATTCAACATAGAAAAAATATGCATCCTGTACCGGAGTCTACTCCTGTACTAATGGATAGTTAAGCATCAGCAAACATTCAAATGGTAATAATACAGATATTATAAAAAAATTACAGTCATCAATTCTTTGAAATATTTTAAAATTTATTTTTATCATCGTTATTAAATTGACGATTATTGTAATGTGTAATGTTATTTCCAGCTTCAATTCATGATTTAAGAGTCTGCATTGGCGTGTACTGTATAGAACTGATTAATGTATTTACTTAATTTCAACAGTGATTTGTAAATATTAACATTATCAAGGATAAACTGTGTTATTTACAAATATGAGTAATGTTTAATGAAATTATAGTTAGATATCCGTTTCAACCGAATAAAGAATTACTCTTTCTATTTGATTTATTCTCATTGGTCTAAATTCAACTTATCAAAAAAAGTAAATTTTAATAAAAATTACTTTTGTAATCGAAATTACACATACACATTCATGAACGTATTATAGTATTATATAAAATAATAATGAAATTAACATTATATTTTAAAATTATATATGTTAATTATTAGTTAATAAGTTAATAGTTAATAGTTCTACAACTTCAAAAACAAATCCAGTACAAGTAAAATGCCTATATGAGTCTGTGCAGTTGTTAGAGCGTAAACAATATATTTTTAGCGCGATGAAACGTAATTCGCTAATAATATAATTACCAAGCGAAGTTTACTGCAGGCCGGTGAATAAACATTTTACTTTATTGAATTAATAATTAGTATTACTAAAATACAGTTGTGTGTGTGTGTGTGTGAAATATAATATAGCAAAAATAAAATCAGAACAGACTATAGCAATTTCTATTTATATGATTGAATTTGTTTTTTCAGTGCGATATATTTTTATAACACATTGATATAAATTTTTTAAAAAGAAATAGCAGAAAATGCGATAAAGAATGTGTTTAGGCTATACGATATTTATTATTAACATTTATTAATATTTACTAATACTCTTAGTAATACCATGATTTTTTAAAATGTATGTACTCGCGTGGGGATCAATTGACCTATATTTTAATTAATTTATTTTTACGTGTAAATCAATTTTTTTGTTACTTATAAATAACTTTAAATTAAGACACGTTATCAACAAAAAATAATAACTTTTAAGGATTAAAAATTAGGAGCCGTCTATGTTTTTAAAACATATTCCTTTACGTAATATTTTGGTCAGTTAATTCATAACTTTCACAATGAAAAGAAATTACTATATTTTAATGAATATTTTTGCAATTGTAAATAGACATTTTTACTTACATTTTTTACGATAAGTAATACTTACTCAATGGTAGTTAAATTAAATTAATGATTCTTGTTTCAAACTATACAAGATATTAATTCAATCATGCATATATGACAGTTTTGTTTTCAACTTCAATTCTTGAGTACAATGCTTATTAAGTAATCGAGTGAATTGAATGATTGTTAAAACGACATATGCTCACTAACATGATGTAATAGGAACCAAGGTCAAAATGATTTCTAATTAACTATGATAGAATCAAAGATAAAAATTAATTATTGCAAGACAGTAGAAGACTTTTTCAATCACAATCAGTTTAGTTCTATATCTACACACGAGCCCTTTGTAAAAACTTACCCGACACTCTGGTGTGCGTGCGGGCGCGCGCGCGCGCTCGTGTTCTGTGTGTGTGTGTGTGTACACATATATATGTGTTACATATGTGCAACCATACATAACAATGATTTATTGGTTTGCGTCGATCAAAGAATCAACGCTGATGATCTTACATAAGGTGCGTTAAAAGAAACGATACTACTGATACTAGCGCTATTTGCGTCGTTCTCCCTTTACCGTCTATTAGATATGTAAAACAAAGACGGAGTAACATTGATAGCGTCATCTTGAACACACCCACAATTCTTGCAAACATTTACTTTACTACGATCACTAGTATATTACGCGATAGGAGCTGCTGTGACGAGCAGTAGTACGCTACGACTCGCGTCAGCAATACCGCTAGTGTTCTGTGTATAGTCAGTTACATTTTACCAAACGTTTAAAAAGAGATTGTTGGAAGATCTTCTAATACTGTTTGTGCCATGGAATACTGGTCGATATTATTATCGATAGTGATCGGTGTGATCAGCATTCATTATCTTTTTAGAAATTTTAATTTTTTTAAAAGAAATGGTATTATACACATGCCGCCTGTTCCATTATTTGGATCCGCGATGCCGGTTGTATTTCGTCGAATGTCATTCTTTGATTTCATGTGGAAGATATACAATTTCAATACAAACGCAAAGTATTTTGGAATGTACTTCACGACAACTCCAGTCTTCTTCCTTCGCGATCTCGAACTCATTAAAACTGTCCTTGTAAAAAATTTCGAGGCATTTCCAGATCGTCGTGGTTTCGCCGACTTTAACGATTCTTTATGTAAGAAAAATTTGTTTTCTCTTCGTGGAGAAAAATGGCGGAATGTGAGGAATCTGTTGAGTCCCTCTTTTACATCCAGCAAGATGAAAATGATGTTTTCGTTGATGTCCGAGTGTGCTGTAGATTTTGCAAAATTTCTGTCGACATCATCAGCGGATAAAGTCGATATAAACATGAAAGACGTCTGCTCTAAATATACAAACGACGTCATCGCTACATGTGCATTTGGAATCAAAGTCGATTCTATGAAGGATCCAATGAATAAATTCTATATTTACGGCAAGGAGGCCAGTAACTTCAGAGGAGTCATTCGCAGTATAAAGTTCTTTTTTGTTGGGACGTTTCCGACACTTGGGCGAATTCTCAATATAAAATTTATGGACGATTATTTGACGAATTTCTTTAAGGATATTATAAGAACTACAATCGCAACTCGCGACGCAGAACACATTTCACGTCCGGATATGCTACAGTTAATGATGGATATCAGAGGCAAAGAAGGTCGTAGAGAATTAGACATCGACGACATGACTGCGCAAGCGTTCATCTTTTTCCTCGGCGGTTTCGAGACCAGTTCAACTGCAATGTGCTTCGCAGCTCACGAAATAGCAGCTAATCCAGAAATTCAGTTGAAATTACAACAAGAGATCGATAAAGTTTTGGAGGAATCGAACGGAGAAGTGTCTTATGAAGTTATTAATCGTCTCGAATATTTAGATGCGGTGATAAGTGAGGCTCTTAGATTATATCCACCAGTCACAGCCTTAGAAAGAATATGTGAAAAATCTTTTGAGTTACCACCCGCATTGCCGGACGAGAAACCTTTTATCATGAAGAAAGGTATGATTGTTTGGATTCCCGTTCTTGCAATCCATCATGATGAAAAGTATTATGACAATCCAAAGAAATTTGATCCAGAAAGATTTTTAAACAATAAGATAAACAGTTCTTCGAATTATATGCCATTCGGATTAGGACCGAGAATGTGCATAGCTAACAGGTTTGCCGTGCTGGAAGTCAAAGTATTGTTGTTTCACTTATTAGCGCGATGTGAGCTGAAACCTTCTGCAAAAACTACATCCCCAATACAATTTTGCAAAGATTTCATGATAATGCCGAAAAATGGATTCTGGTTAAATATTCAGCGTAGAAAAAATATGCATCCTGTATTGGAGTCTACTCCAGTAGTAATGGATAGTTAAGCCTCAGAAAACATTTTAAATGGTAATAATGCAGATATTATAAACGAATTACAGTTATCAATTCTTTGAAATATTAAAAAATACATTTTTATAATCATTATTAAATTGACGACTATTGTAATGTGTAATGTTATTTCCAGCTTCAATTCATGATTTAAGAGTCCGCATTGGCGTGTACTGTATAGAACTGATTAATGTATTTACATAATTTTAACAGTGATTTGTAAATATTAACATTATCAAGGATAAACTGTGTTATTTACAAATATGAGTAATGTTAAATAAAATTATAAATATCCGTTTCAACCGAATAAAGGATTACTTTCTCTATTTGATTTATTCTCATTGGTCTAAATTCAACTTATTAAAAAAATTACATTTTAATAAAAATTACTTTTGTAATCGAAATTACACATACACCTTCATGAACGTATACGTATTATAGTATTATATAAAATAATAATGAAATTAACATTATATTTTAAAATTATATATTGCGAATGTCAATTATTTAAGTTAATAAGTTCATGGTTAATATTTTTACAACTACAAAATCAAATCCAAAAAAAGTAAAATGCCTATAAAATCCAAAACAAGTAAAATGCCTATATGAGTCTGCGCAGTTGTTTGAACCTAAACTATATATTTTTAATGCGATGGAACATAATTCGCCAACAATATACTTACCAAGCGAAGTTAACTGGAGGGCGGTATATAAGTATTTTACGTTATTGAATTAATAATTATTATTACTGAAATATTGTTGAAATATAATTTAGCAAAAATAGAATCAGAACAGATTGCAGCAATTTCTATTTATATGATTGAATTTGTTTTTTCCGTGCAATATATTTTTATAACACTTTGATATAAATTTTTTAAAAAGAAATAGAAGAAAACGCGATAAGGAATGTGTTTAGGCTACACGATATATATTATTAATATTTATTAATATTTATTAATACCCTTAGTAATATCGTGATTTTTTTAAATGTATGTGCTCGCGTTTTTTGTTATTTATAAATATCTATAAACTAAGACACGTTATCAACAAAAAATAAGAACTTTTAAGGTTTAAAAATTAGAAGATATCCATGTTCTTAAATATATTCCTTTACGTAATATTTTGATCAGTTAATTCATAACTTTCACAATGAAAAGAAATTACTATATTTTAATGAATATTTTTGCAATTGTAAATAAACTTACATTTTTACGATAAGTAATATGTACTCAATGGTAGTTAAATTAAATTAATGATTCTTGTTCAAACTACACGTAAGATATTTATTCAATCATGCATATTACAGTTTTATTTTCAACTTCATTTCTTGAGTACAATGTTTTTCAAGTAATCGAATGAATTGAATGATTGTCACAACGACATATTCTCACTAACATGATGTAACAAGAACCAAGGTCAAAATAATTTCTAATTAACTATGATAGAATGAAAGATAAAAATAAAATATTGCAAGATATTAGAGGACTTTTTGACTCATAATCAGTTTAGTTCACTATAATCTACACACGAGCCCTTTGTCAAAACTTACCCGACACTCTGTCTGTGCGTGCGAGCGCGCGCGCGCGTGTGTACACATATATATTTTTTACATATGTGCAACCATACAGCATACATAACAATGATTTATTGGTGTGCATCGATCAAAGTATCAACTCTGATTGATCTTATATAAGGTGTATTCCAGGAAATAGTACCGCTGTTTGTGTTACTCTACCTTAATCGTCCATTAGCAAAACAAGGACAGAGTAACACAAATAGCACGGATAGCGTCATCGCGAAGCAATCCATAATGTAGCTTGGAAGCATTTACTTCACAACGAGTATATTACGAGATGGGAACTGCTGTACCGAGCAGTTCTACGTAGCGACTCGTGTCAGCAGTATCGCTAGTGCTCTATGTATAATCAGTCACATATTATCAGACGTTTACAAAGAAATTGTTGAAAATAACATTTTTTAAATAACATCCGTTTGTGCTATGGAATATTGGTCGATATTATTATCGATAGGGTTCGGAGTGATCAGCATTTATTATCTTTTTAAAAATTATAACTTTTTTAAAAGAAATGGTATTATACACTTACCGCCTTTTCCATTATTCGGATCAACGACATCGATGGTATTTCGTCGAATATCATTTTTCGATTTCATGATGAAGATATACAATTGCTATCCAAACGCAAAGTATTTTGGATTCTACTTCACGACAACTCCAGTCTTTCTGCTTCGCGATCTGGAACTCATTAAAACCGTCCTTGTTAAAAATTTCGATGCATTTCCAGATCGTCGTGGTTTCGCCGACTTTAACAATCCTTTATTTGAAAAAAATTTGTTTTCTCTTCACGGAGAAAAATGGCGGAACGTGAGGAATCTGTTGAGTCCTTCTTTTACTTCCAGCAAGATGAAAATGATGTTCACGTTGATGTCCGAATGTGCTGTGGATTTTGCAAAATTTCTGTCAACATTAGCAGCAGATAAAGGCGATATAAACATGAAAGACGTCTGCTCTAAATATACAACTGACGTCATTGCTACATGTGCATTTGGAATCAAAGTTAACTCTATGAAAGATCCAACAAACAAATTCTATATTAACGGCAAGGAAGCGAGTAACTTCACAGGAGTCCTTCGTGGTATAAAGTTCTTTTTTCTTGGAACATTTCCAAGACTCGGGAAAATTCTCCATTTGAAAATAATGAACGATTATGTTTCGGACTTCTTCAAGGATATTATAAGGACTACAATCGCCACCCGTGACGCAGAACACATTACACGTCCGGATATGCTGCAGTTGATGATGAATATCAGAGGCAAAGAAGGTCGTAGAGAACTAGACATCGATGACATGACTGCGCAAGCGTTCATCTTTTTCCTTGGCGGTTTCGAAACCAGTTCAACCGCAATGTGTTTCGCAGCTCACGAAATTGCAGCTAATCCAGAAATTCAGACGAAATTACAACAAGAAATCGACCAGGTTTTAGAGGAGTCGAACGGAGAAGTGTCTTACGAAGCTATTAATCGGCTCGAATATTTAGATGCGGTGATATGTGAGGCTCTTAGATTATATCCACCAGTCGCCGCATTAGAAAGGATATGCGAAAATACTTTTGAGTTACCTTCCGCATTGCCGGGCCAGAAACCTTTTATCATAAAAAAGGGTATGCTTGTTTGGATTCCAGTTCTTGCAATCCATCGTGATGAAAATTATTACGATAATTCGGAGAAATTTGATCCAAATAGATTTTTAAACAACAAGATGCACAATTCTTCGAGTTATATGCCATTCGGATTAGGACCGAGAATGTGTATAGCTAACAGATTTGCCATGTTGGAAGTCAAAGTCTTGTTATTTCATTTATTAGCGCAATGTGAACTGAAACCATCTGTAAAAACTCCGTCGCCAATAAAATTCTGCAAAGATCTAATAATGATGCCGGAGAATGGATTCTGGTTAAATATTCAGCGTAGAAAAAATATGCATTCTGTACAGGAATCTACAATAATGGATAGTTAGGCTTCAGAAAACATTTCAAATGGTAATAATGCAGTTCTTATAAAAAAAACTACAGTTATCAATTCTTTAGTGTTTTAAATTTTATTTTTATGATCATTATTAAATTGACGATTATAATGTGTCATATTATTTCCAGCTTCAATTCATGTTTGTGATTTAAGTCCGACAAACCTCATCGACGCGCAATTTATAGAACTGAGTAATGCATTTACAAATTTTCAACTGTTATTTGCAAATATTAACATTATCAAAGACGAACTGTGTTATTTAAATACGAGTATTACTTAACATTATCGAGATCCTTTTTAACCGAAAAAAGGATTGTCTTTTCATTTGATTTATTCTTCTTGGTCTAAATTAAACTTATTAAAAAAATTATATTTAAATTAAAATTATGTTTGTAATAGAAATTCAAATGTACCTTAATGAATGTGTACATATTATAATATTGTATAAAATAATAATGAAATCAATATATATTAAAATTATTGTTAATGTTAATAATTAGTTAATAAGTTAATAGTTTTGTAAACCCACGAATAAATCCATTACAAATAAAACGCCTATGTAATCCTTCGCAGTTGTTAATACGTAAATTGTATATTTATATGACGATGAGACATAATTCGCTAACAGTATACTTACTAATCGAAGTTAACTGTAGGCTGGTATATGCACTTTACTTTAATGGCTTAATAATAATTTATATTAAGGTGCCTCTCGACATAAGTCAACTTTGCACATATTCATTAAATTGGTCTACATTTATGGATAGTTATGCATGTCATGTATCGGTATGTGTAATATTTAATAATCTTACATACATTGGCTATACATTATATCGCCTGGAGGTACTTTTACTGAAATTTTTCAAATATCATTTAACAAAAATAAAATCGGGACAGTTTGTAGCAATTTCTATTTATTTATATGATCTCATTTGTTTTCTCCGTTTAATGTTTTTTAATAATTTATTAATGTATTTTTATAAAAATAAACCGGATGAAACACGATATTGAAAGCGTGTAGGCTATAGGATATATATTATTACTCTTAGTAATAGCCTGACTTTTCTTAACGTAAGTGCTCGCGTGAGGGTCAATTGACCTATATTTTAATTAATTAATTTTTTTCGTGTAAACCAATTTCTTATTTTTACTTATAAATAGTTATAAACTAAAACACGTTTCAACAGAAAATAATAATTTTTAACAGTTAGAAATTAGAAGAAAACTATATTTTAAAATATATTTCTTTGCGTAATATTTTGGTCTGTAAATTCATAACTTACTCATTGAAAAGAAGTTACTATATCTTAATAAATATTTTTTTTGAATATTGAAAGTAGACATTTACTTACAGTAAATAAATATTTATTCAATGAAAAAAACGCTAATTAAATTAATTTAATGGTTTTTGTTCAAACATATACATAAGACATTTTCTCATTGAACAAAATTAATAAGTTTTATTTTCAACTTCTTGAGTACAATGCTTGTCAAGTAATTGAGTGAATTGAATAATTGTCAGAATGATACACTGTAAAATATAAAACGTTAATTTTAACATTTTTGCATGTCTCAGAAAATCCACTAAACGTCTCTTTAAGTTAAAATTAATATTTTATTTTTTCAAGTGTATAATCTCATCAGTATGACGTAATGGGAACCAAGATCAGAGTGATTTCTAATTTACCATGATAGATTTAAAGATAAAAATAAAAAAGTGAAAATCACAGAATTGTAGAATTTAAAGATTATGATGAGATACTATCAGTAACAAAAATCATTTACTATAATAGATGTCAACATATATGTACTATCAACAACATATTTTAATAAATGAACTTCTTTGTTTTTGTTAACACTACTACTTACATATGTACTTTACATATGTTACGTAATCTGCTGACGACTAGTTAATACATATATACTTATATTTCGATGTAATATACCTACGTGAATTTCATTAGCTCTACGTATATACGTTTATGTGAAATTGCACTATCATTCCATATAATTTGTCATTTCAATACTGATACTGAATTCAACGATTAAGTATTTGTATTATCAATAAAAAGTAAGCATAATCAATTGAGATATCAAATTAAAACCCGTGACGCACTCTAATAAATTTATCAGTGGAATACTTGTTGATTTTATTTACTTCATATCAACAAAAAATAATAAAAATAAATGCAACAAACTTCTTAAAGATAAGAAATATATGATAAAATAAGATAATACGTCTTATATCTATTAATGATATAATTTCTCATAAAATATATATTTTATAAAATTTTATAAAAAATTTTATAAAATTTTGTTCTCATACAAACTGGATAACTTTTCATTATTTGTCAAATTAGAACAGAAAATTTTCAATGGAATTGATTTAATTGAAATAAGATAAATAAAAGGCATAAAACTACGAACGCAAGATGTAAGCAGCGAATAAATATGTATTTAAAGAGTTAAAATATTATATAATTAGACGTTTCGGTCTTAAATCAGACCATCTTCAGTAATAAAAATATAAATCAAAATGAGAGTTATAAATAAATATTAAATTTCGCAAACATTAAGTAAAAAGTCAATAAGAAATAAAAACTAGTCAACGCAAATTACAATTTTCTTGATGTGAAGAATTTTTTAAAAAACATCTCCAAGTGTTCGAAGGCGCAGATTCGCAGCAAGTCAAAAATGTAGTCAATTAAGTGGAAAGTACATCAAAAAGTCAAAATGAGTGAGTGTCCGCGGTGTGAATTATTGCGCACAAAATTTCCCGATTCTAATGTAAGTATAAATAAGAAATTAAAATAACAGAAGAAAAAATAAAAATTAAGTTGTAAAATATAAAATAAATTCGAACACTTGGAGATGTTTTTTAAAAAATTCTTCACATCAAGAAAATTTGCGTTGACTAGTTTTTATTTCTTATTGACTTTTTACTTAATGTTTGCGAAATTTAATATTTATTTATAAATCATTTTGATTTATATTTTCATTACTGAAGATGGTCTGATTTAAGACCGAAACGTCTAATTGTATTTTAACTCTTTAAATATATATTTATTCGCTGCTTACATCTTGCGTTCGTAGTTTTATGCCTTTTTCTTATTTTGTTTAAAATTTGAACTACGTTTTGACCTAATTTGATTTAATTGATGCATTTTTTTAAATAAAATTAACATACACACACACACACACACACAATATATACAATAATTTATAAAGTAAATTCGAAGCAACATACTTATATACATTACATATTTTTTAACTTATTCGGTCCATCATCGAATGATAATTTTAGTAAAAAACATCGTTTCATATATCTATCAAAATAAATAAAAGAACATTAAATTTATATAGGAATATGCTTCAGTCTTCAAATTGCACATTTAATATGGTCGAGTGTGTGTTACATATGTGCAAACACACAGCATACACAATAATGATTTATTGATTTGTATCGAGTAAAGCAAGAACAGAATAACACAAATAGCATGGATAGCGTCATCCCGGACACGTCCATAATGTAGCTTGAAAGCATTTACTTCACAATGATTGCTGGTATATTGCGACGTAGGAACTGCTGCAACGAGCAGTTGTACGTAACGACTTGTGTCAGCAGTATCGCTAGTGCTTTATATATAGTCAGTCACATTTTATCAACCGTTTAAAAAGAGATTATAGGAAGATCTTCTAATAACATTTGTTTATGCCATGGAATATTGGTCGATACTACTATCGATAGTGATCGGTGTGATCAGCATTCATTATTTTTTTAAAAATTATAACTTTTTTGAAAGAAATGGTATTATACACTTACCGCCTCTTCCATTATTCGGATCCATGATATCGATGGTATTCCGTCGAATATCATTTTTCAATTTCATGCTGAAGATATACAATTGCTATCCAAACGCCAAGTACTTTGGATTCTACTTCACGACGACTCCAGTCTTTCTGCTTCGCGATCTGGAACTCATTAAAACCGTTCTTGTTAAAAATTTCGATGCATTTCCAGATCGTCGTGGTTTCGCCGACTTTAACAATCCTTTATTTGAAAAAAATTTGTTTTCTCTTCACGGAGATAAATGGCGGAACGTGAGGAATCTGTTGAGTCCATCTTTTACTTCCAGCAAGATGAAAATGATGTTCACATTGATGTCCGAATGTGCTGTGGATTTTGCAAAATTTCTGTCAACATTATCAGCAGATAAAGGCGGTATAAACATGAAAGACGTCTGCTCTAAATATACAACCGACGTCATTGCTACATGTGCATTTGGAATCAAAGTCAACTCTATGAAAGATCCAACAAACAAATTCTATATTTACGGCAAGGAAGTGAATAACTTCACAGTCCTTCGTGGTATAAAGTTCTTTTTTCTTGGAACATTTCCAAGACTCGGGCGAATTCTCAATTTGAAAATTATGAACGATTATGTTTCGGACTTCTTCAAGGATATTATAAGGACTACAATCGCCACCCGTGACGCAGAACACATTACACGTCCGGATATGCTGCAGTTGATGATGAATATCAGAGGCAAAGAAGGTCGTAGAGAACTAGACATCGATGACATGACTGCGCAAGCGTTCATCTTTTTCCTTGGCGGTTTCGAAACCAGTTCAACCGCAATGTGTTTCGCAGCTCACGAAATTGCAGCTAATCCAGAAATTCAGACGAAATTACAACAAGAAATCGACCAGGTTTTAGAGGAGTCGAACGGAGAAGTGTCTTACGAAGCTATTAATCGGCTCGAATATTTAGATGCGGTGATATGTGAGGCTCTTAGATTATATCCACCAGTCGCAGTCTTAGAAAGGATTTGCGAAAAAACTTTTGAATTACCACCCGCATTGCCACATGAAAAACCTTTTATCATGAAAAAAGGTATGCTTGTTTGGATTCCAGTTCTTGCAATCCATCGTGATGAAAAGTATTACGATAATCCGGAGAAATTTGTTCCACAAAGATTTTTAAACAATATGCGTAATTCTTCATGTTATATGCCGTTTGGATTAGGACCGAGAATGTGTATAGCTAACAGATTTGGCATGTTGGAAGTCAAAGTCTTGCTTTTTCACTTATTAGCACGATGTGAACTGAAACCATCCGTGAAAACTACGTTACCAATGAAATTCCGCAAAGATACACTAGCAATGGTGCCGGAGGATGGATTCTGGTTGAATATTCAGCGTAGAAGAAATATGCATTCTGTATTGGAATCTACAGTAATGGGAGCCGCAGGAAACATTTCGAATACGTAGTAGTAACATAGTATACATTTTATAAAAAATTATAATTATCAGTTCTTTAGAGTGTTTTAAGGCATGGTACTTTTTAGCACCATTATTAAATTGGCGATCAACATAATTTGTAATGTTATTGATAGCTTTAACTCATTATTGTGTTTTATGTCCGACAGACCTCGGCGTTCAGTTTACAGAGCTGATTAATATGTATAGAAATTTTCGGTAATAATTTAGAAATATTAACATTATTTAACACAAACTGTTTTATTTACAAATATGAACATAATTTAGACTATTATAATGATCTGTTTTATTCGAAAGAGTATTCCTTGTTTTATTTGATTTAATTTTGTCGAACTAAATTTTACTTATTACAGAAGTTACATTTGTAATAAAAACTATGTTTGTAATAGAAATTATCCGTGCATATTTATGAACACACATATTACAGTATTTTATACTGTTTTATGCAGTAATAATAACGTCAAGATCATATATTAATTATTCAGTGCGAACATCAATAATTAATTAAAATTAATAAATTAATAGTTTTGTAACTCTAAAAATAACTTCGATGTAAATAAAATATCTATATAAGCCTTTGCAGACGGTAGTGCATAAATTACATATTCATAAGGGGGGGAATATAAATATATAAATATAATATAAAATATTAAATTATTTAGTATAAAACATTTAATTTTTGTTATAAACAACTCATTTATCTAAAATAGTACATATCATTAAGAGGTTAATATAATATTTAAAATTTTTTCGATTTGCCCAATCATTGAGTCATGTCCACTGACTATCCACTAATACATTTATGTACCTTATGTATACGAAAGATTGCACAATGATTCTACATAATTTATTACTTAGATATCAATAAAGTCAACAATTAATCATTTGTATTGACAAAATAATAATAGTAATGTAATTTGTATTGATAATAAGTAATAGTAATTATAAATGTCGAATTAAAACAAATTAAACACTTAATTTTATCAAATTGATAACTAGCACACTGTGTGAAATTGTTACGTAAGTCTTGATATCTTTATCGACGCTATTGGATTAACAAACAGTGGTAGAAGAAAATGTAACGAATAAACGTAAAGATAAGAAATACAAAACATAAAATAGGTAATAACAAAGATTTTTATGTTTGTATATAATGCTATTTTATAATATATTAGATTTTATAAATGAGGTTGTCCACGGTACATGGAGGCTTCTGTCCAGGAGATGAAACCTCTGAAATCAATAAATTCCAAGTCAACCAGTATTGGCTAAACTTGGGAAACTTCAAACAGGATTTTTCAAATTTTTCCTGTTTAGAAAGTGGAATTTAATATTGGACGATTAGTCAAATATCAAACTTCACATCATATTTTAAACAAAATCGATTTAATAGAAGTTCCATTTTCGAAACTTGAAATCCCATGTAACGTGAGCTTTCCCTTTCTCATGTAAATTGTATAACTTTTTATTATTCTTCGAATAAAAATAGAATATTTTCGTTGCAATAGGTGCATTTTCATTTGATAAAATTCGTTTTAAATATACACAATAACATATAAAAGCCTACAAAAAAATTTTATACATTTTTTTATTTTATTCGATTTTATATAATAAAATAATAATTCCAGTAAAAAAAAATTTTTTTAACAACGTTTCATATATTTAGAAATAATCCCATAATAACAGCGTTAAGTACAGTATCTATATGCGCCAATCTTTGAATTACAAATTGAATATGATTGTGTAAATTTCTTCATTTATCTTCTTACATAATCAATTTAATTCTACATATCTAAATATATCAGTAATGCGCATTCCAGTCAGCTTGTAGCACGATTAATAACATGAAGAGAGTATAAGAACTTCTTATACCCTCTTCATGCTATTAACCGTGCTGCAAGCGTGTTAGAACTCGCATCATTGATACACACACACACACGCGCGCGCGCGCGCGCGCACACGCACACGTATATGGTATATATAGGTACACACAAATGCACACACGCGCATGCGCGCGCATGTGAGTGTGTGGGTGTGCTACATATCACGAATATAAAGCATTCACAACAAAGATTCATTGATTTGCAACAAACAAAGTACGTTGACTGATTTTATATAATGTGCTTTCGGAGAATGATACTAGCTGTTTGTGTCATTCTTTCTTTATTGTTCATTAAACCAAGGACAGATAGCGTCATCCCGAACGCACACATAAAGCAGCTTGAAAGTAAGCACTTCACAACGATACCGGTATATAACGAGATAGGAATTACTACATGAGCAGTTGCATGCTACGACTCGCCTCGGCAGTACCGCTAGTGTTCTATAGATAGTCATATCTTATCAGACGTCTAAAAAAAATTGTACAGAGCTTTTCAAATAAAATCAGTTTGTGCCATGGAATACTGGTCGATATTATTGTCGATAATAATCGGAGTGATCAGCATTCACTATCTTTTTAGAAACTTTAATCTCTTTAAAAGACATGGTATTCCACACATACCACCTGTTCCAATATTCGGATCCGCGATATCGGTTATATTTCGTCGAATATCATTCGTAGATTTCATCCAGAAGGTATACTATTTCAATCCAAACTCCAAATATGTTGGATTCTACTTCATGACAAATCCAGTATTGGTGATTCGTGATTTGGAACTTATTAAAAATATCCTTGTTAAAAATTTTGAAGCATTTCCAGATCGTCAAGGTTTCTCCAATACGAACGACTTTTTATTCAAGAACAATTTGTTTTCTCTTCATGGAGAAAAATGGCGGAACGTGAGAAATCTGTTGAGTCCTTCTTTTACTTCCAGCAAGATGAAAATGATGTTCACGTTAATGTCGGAATGTGCTGTGGATTTTGTAAAATTTATATCAACATCGCCGGCGAATGAAGAAAGTATAAACACGAAAGATGTTTTCTCAAAATATACAAACGACGTCATCGCTACATGTGCGTTTGGAATCAAAGTCAATTCTATGAAGGATCCAACGAATAAATTTTATGTTTACGGCAAGGAGGCGAGTAACTTCAGAGGGGTCATCCGCGGTATAAAATTTCTTTTTCTTGGAACTTTTCCCAGATTTAGCCGAATTCTCAATATAAAGATTATGAACGATTATGTGTCGAATTTCTTCAAGGATATTATAAAGACTACAATCGCTACTCGTGATGCAGAACACATTACACGTCCGGATATGCTACAGTTAATGATGGATATCAGAGGCAAAGAAGGTCATAGAGAACTAGACATCGACGATATGACTGCGCAAGCGTTCATCTTTTTCCTCGGCGGTTTTGAGACCAGTTCAACCGAAATGTGCTTTGCAGCTCACGAAATTGCAGCTAATCCAGATATCCAGACCAAATTACAACAAGAGATCGACAACGTTTTGGAGAAATCAAACGGAGAAGTGTCTTACGAAATCATTAATCGGCTGGAATATTTAGATGCGGTGATAAACGAGACTCTTAGATTATATCCACCAATCGGTTTCTTAGAAAGGATGTGCAAAAAAACTTATGAATTACCATCCGCATTGCCGGATAAGAAACCTTTTATCATAAAAAAGGATATGCTTGTTTGGATTCCGACTTTTCCAATCCAACGTGATGAAAAGTATTACGATAATCCGGAGAAATTTGATCCAGAAAGATTTTTAGACAATAAAATGCACAATTCTTCGTGTTATATGCCATTTGGATTAGGACCGAGAATGTGCATAGCTAACAGGTTTGCTATGCTAGAAGTTAAAATTTTGCTATTTCATTTATTAGCGCGATGTGAGCTGAAACCTTCTGCGAAAACCGCTTCCCCAATAAAATTTTGCAAAGATGGGCTGCTTATGCCGGAGAGTGGATTTTGGTTGAATATTCAGCGCAGAAAAGATGTACATCCTGTGCTAGCATCTTATAGTTGTGAATAAGTAAGCTTCGGAAAACATTTCAAATAGTAATAACATAAACAATATTAAGAATCTTTACTTTAGACCGCATATGTGAGAAACACAATCAATACTAGAAATTTAGTAATAACATAATTATTATAAAAAAATTACAGTTATCAGTTCTTTGGAATGTTTTAAAGTGCGTTTTAGCATCGTTATTAAATTGACGGTCAATATAATGTTTTATATTATTTTCAGCTTCAATTCACGATTGTGCTTCAAGTCCGACAAGTCGAGCCGGATCGTAGTTTGTAGAACTCTGAAAGATATGGTTATAAATTTTCAACTGTGGTAAATATATTTATATATATACATATATAATATTAACATTATCAAGCATATCCTATATTATTTGTAAATGTAAACATTATTAAAACTGTTATCGAAATTTGTTTTAATCGAAAAAATTTTCTTTTTTTATTTGATTTACTTTTATCAATCTAAATCCACTTACAAGAATATACATTTATTTTCCATGTTCGTGATCTTCATAAATAATATACATATATTATAATATTATATGTGGTAATAGAAAGCAAAATCAAGATTATATATTAAAATTATTTGTTGGAAATATCAATAATAACTTCCCGTACATCAATGGCGCACGCACACTTACATAAACTTTCGTAGAATAATAACGTTTTAATGAGACATTTAAATTTACTTCTAAGAATTCAATGTTGTTTCTTCGTGTAATTTACTAGTCTGTAACCTTTAATTTCGTAAGTACAGATTGTAAAAGATTATTAAACAAATGTCGCGTCTTTGACAGCTCAAGACGCCATATTAGACTAAGAAGTGATAAAAAAAGATCATAATTAGAAAAATTTTTGTCATTTCCAGCATAAATTCCAAGACACATATATAGTATGTATAATAAACCCTAATTCTATAGAAGAATTTTCAAATTTACAAAAGTAATATATGCAATACCGTTCTACGAAAATTATTGTATTCAGTCAGTAAAATAAATGACTTTAGGATCACCTAAAGCCTATATATGTCTATCAAAAATTGTACAACCATTCTAAGGCCCAATTTTACAATATATGGTTACCTAAAGATTAAAGGTAACCAAGAAATTTATGAATGAATTTCATTGATGTATATATTAATAATATCTGTTGGTAACTTTTAATCGTTAGATAACCATATATTGTGAAAATGGGCCTATGTAATTTATCATTTAAATACCAATGAAGTGAAAAATTAAGTATTTATATGCGTCCAGCGACGCCATATCTGCGCAATTCCGGAACACACGTAACCGAACAGAGGAGCCGAAGCACAGGATTTCTTAACCTTTGCGGCACGTTGCCTCGAGAGATCTCAAGGATGTAACAATGACGGCATACACACTCGCATCGTGTCTTTCTTTCGTTCGTTCCTCCTGTTCCACACAAAGGATAAAATAAACAGATATGTATTTGTAACTCCGCTCAATAATTGTAACGAAGTAGCACTAAATAAACCCTGTATGGTCATGTTATCCGTCGAATGACAACAGTATTGTACATTCAGTCTGAAAGATTTCGTTCGTAAATTATTGAAGAATTTCCGAAGGATAAACAAATTATTAATTGGATAGACGAACGGTAATTAATTTTAAGTTTCCGATCATCCCATCTAGCATAAATCAATAAAATCGTAAGAGAAATAATTACAGATATCAGATTAAATCTAGCGATGCAGTTTCATCAAATTGATATGTTATAAATGACTCGCTGCATAAAATTGTTATGTAAATCTTGATGCCCTTCTTGACGGTATTCGTTCCACTTTAACAAATAAGGATAAGAATAAACGCGATGAACGAACAAAAAAATAAAAAATACTAGATAAAATAAAATAATAAAAGTTTTATGTCTATACATAATGCTATTTTATAAATTGATATATTTTATAAAATTTTATTTTCATATAAACTGCATAAGTTTTCATTTTCTCTTTTACATAGAAATAGAATATTATTAGTGAAATTAGTGCGTTTTGTTTTGATAAAGTTAGTTATATATATATATATATAACGTAATAATTTATAAAGTAACTCCAAGCTGTCCAAGCAACATATTTTTATACATCATTTATTTTTTATCTCATTCAATTTTATATTATATAAAATACAAATTTCGATAAAAAAATGTTTTCAAACACCATATCATATAGAAGTAATCCTGTAACAATAACGTTCAGTATAACATATGTTTATACTTCGATTTAATATCTGCGTGAATATATATATATAGGGTAACTCCGGTATATACGCCACATCTATCAAAAACTTAATTTATTAAGTATTATTTACTACGTTTATAATAAACGAACTATATCAGTAAAAACTTTGTACTGTCTACTACCATGAAAAAAATATTAGAAATCTGAAATATTTATTTTTCATATTAAAAAATAAACTTTTTGAAACCTTGTATTTTTTCCACATATCTCATAGGGGTGGGATATATGGCTACTCATAGGTGGAAAGGGGATATGTATGGCTCATGAAAAAATTACAAATAATGCAAACATGCTTAATAATACAAACATGCTTTACTATTCCACTACACGTATGTATCACGAAATAAGTAAGTCTTTTACGCGTCCTACATTAATCATTTTATGTGGAACTTATGATAGCGTTACTTATTACAGTGACAAATCGATTCAACTCACAATAAATTCATTAATATTAACAGTAAGAAGCTGAAATCATAACACAATACTAATATAACATAAAGGCATGTAACAGAGTAGTTACAGGAAAATTACCCTCACTCCTTCTATTTTTTCTAACTTCTGCGGCGTAAATCCCAGCGCGGCGTATTTGCCGGAGTTACCCTATATATGTAAAGTAATACAATCATTCTACATAATTTATCATTTAAATATTAATGAAGTAAAAAATTAAGTGTTTATATTGATAATAAACTATAAGCTATATAATTATGGATATCAAATTAAAGCCAACGATGCAGTTTCATCAAATCGATATAAATGACATACTATGTAAAGTTCTTACTTAAATTTTGATACTTTTATCCATATGATATTCGTTTCACGTCAACAAACTGTAATAATAATAAATGTAATGGATCAACACACAGATAAGGAATACAAGATACAGTAAAATAACAAGAAATTTATGATTATATATAATGTTATTTTATAACCTATAAGATTTTATAAAATTTTGTTCTCATATAAAAATAGAACATTTTCAATGGGATTAGGACATTTTCTTTCATAAAATTAGTTTTAAATATATATAACGTAATCATTTATAAACTAACTCGAAGCGACATATTTTGATACATCATTTATTTTTCATCTTATTTTATTTTATGTTATATTAAATACTATTTTTAGTAAAAAGTATTTCCAAATATAGCTTCCTACCATTTAGAAATAATGCTGTAGTAACAACGTTAAGAACAAAATTTACATATATGCGTCTTTAAATTACGTATTCATAATTTTGCAAATGAATATGATCATGTAAGCACATCTTCATTTATCTTCTACAAATGACATAAGCAATTTAATTTTAAATATACATATGTGTTGCGTATATACGAACATGTAGCAGAAATAACAAAGATTTGCTGATTTACATCGAGCAAAGTACCAAAGCTGACTTATCATGTAATACCAGCTTGAAAATTTTTTCATCAGAATGACTACCGATATATTACTACATTGAAATAAGCTGTAAGAGCAGTTGTCTGCAACGACGCGCGTCAGAAATATCGCAAATACTCTTAAGTTTATCACATCTTATCAGACATATTTACAAAGGAACTGAAGCAAGATTTTCAAACAACATGGAATATTGGTCGATACTGTTATCTATAGTGATTAGTGTGATGAGTATTCATCACCTTTATAGAAACTTTAATTTCTTTAAAAGAAATGGTATTATACATATACCGCCTGTTCCAATATTCGGAGCCATGACATCGCTTATATTTCACCGAATATCATTCGTCGATTTTCTCCAGAAGACATACAATTTCAATCCAAATGCAAAATACGTTGGATTCCACTTGGCGACAACTCCAATCTTCTTGCTTCGCGATCCGGAACTTATTAAGAATGTCCTTGTTAAGAATTTTGAGTCATTTCCAAACCGTAACGGTTTTTCTGATTTAAATGACTCTTTATTTGAAAAAAATTTGTTTTCTCTTCAGGGAGAAAAGTGGCGGAACGTAAGAACTTTATTGACTCCCTCTTTTACGTCCAGCAAGATGAAAATGATGTTCACGTTGATGTCGGAATGTGCTATGGATTCTGCAAAATTTCTATCGACATTTCCACCGTATGAGGAGAGTATAAACATGAAAGATGCTTTCTCTAAGTATACAAACGACGTCATTGCCACGTGTGCTTTCGGAATCAAAATCAACTCTATGAAGGATCCAACGAATAAGTTTTATGTTAATGGCAAGGAAGTGTCTAACTTCAGAGGTATTCGTGCCTTGAAGTTCCTTTTTCTCAGAAATTTCCCAAGAGTCGGTCGATTTCTGAATATAAAGTTAATGAATGAATATGTTACTCATTTTTTCAAAGACATTATAAAGACTACAATCGCTACTCGTGATGCAGAACACATCACTCGCCCGGATATGCTACAATTAATGATGGACATTAGAGGCAAAGAAGGTCGCAGAGAACTAGACATCGACGACATGACTGCGCAGGCGTTTATTTTTTTCCTTGGAGGTTTCGAAACCAGTTCAACTGCGATGTCGTTTATAGCTCATGAAATCGCAGCTAACCCAGAAGTTCAAACCAAACTACAACAAGAGATCGACAAGGTTTTAAAGGAATCGCATGAAGAAGTGTCTTACCAAGCCATTAGTCAGCTAGAATATTTAGATGCAGTGATGAACGAGGCTCTGAGATTATATCCACCAATCGGCTTCTTAGAAAGGATATGCGAAAAATCTTATGAATTACCATCCGCATTGCCGAACGAGAAACCTTTTATCGTAAAGAAGGGTATGATTTTTTGGATTCCGACTTTTGCAATCCAACGTGATGAAAAGTATTATAATAATCCGGAAAAATTCGATCCAGAAAGATTTTTAGATAATAAGATGCATAGTTCTTCATGGTATATGCCATTCGGATGTGGGCCGAGAATGTGTATAGCTAATAGGTTTGCCCTGCTGGAAATCAAAGTCTTGCTGTTTCACATATTAGCGCGATGTGATCTGAAACCTTGCACAAAAACTACGTCCCCAATAAAATTTTGCAAAGATTTCATGATAATGCCGGAGAATGGATTCTGGTTAAATATTCGGCGTAGAAAAGATAAGCATCCTGCGCTGAAGGCTACTGTAGTGGATAGTTAAGCCATAAAAAGCATTTTAGTAATAATATAGTTTTTATGTTTTTTATTCTACTTATGCTCTTTTCATATTGTACCGTTAAAAAATAAAAAATAGTAAATAGAAGTATTTTATTTTGCCGGAAAATATCAAGATGTCAAATAAATTCTTTATTTCAATATATGTTTATGTAAATAATAAACTTTCCTTCCTTATATTCTCTACGAAAACTATTTATTTTAAATAGTATTTCTATAAACGCATTCTCTAAATAAATATTACTATTGAATCTATTTCATTTTTCCTTGCACTGAAAACATGTATTTATTTTACTACTTTTTATTTCAATCGATTATTTTTCCAAGCATAGGCCACTAGATATTTGAATATTATATATTCGATTATATATATGTAAATATATAGCACTATATTTTTATAAATTTTCAAATATACAAAAACGATAAAACTATACTTAAGACATTTGCTCATTTTAGCATATGACAGTTTTGTTTTTAACTTCACTTCTTAGGTCTGTGTTCTATGGCTGAACTAATGTACATTTTTGGAACGTAAAGTGAGTATATATTTGATATTTGTCGAAAGAGAGAAAGAGAGTTCTAGTGCAGCCTAGGCCAGGAATAGAAAACAAATAACTTGAGTGCAATGCTTATCAACTAATCGAGTGAATAGAATGATTGTCAGAATGATATATTCTCGTCTGTATGACGTAATGGAAGCTAAGGTCAAAATGATTTCTAAGTTATCATGTCAGAATAAAAGATAAATGTAGAAAAGTAAGCTACAACTCTATGTTCACTTTTCTATTTTTATTATTCTGACATGATAACTTAGAAATCGTTTTGACCTTAGTTTCCATTACGTCATACAGACAAGAATATATCATCCGATATATTAAATTCGAGATGATGAAGAAATTATGCTAATAATAAACATCAACAAATTCAGGTCAAAGTAGATATCTACATATGTGTGCTAACAACAATATATTTTAATAAAAAGAACTTCTATGCGTATTTTAATATACATTATGTGTTACGTTGGAGACTAGTTGATACATGTTTATACTTCGGTGCAATATATCTGTGTGAATTAACTCTGTATACATCAATAAAAAATTGTACAATCATTCTACATAATTTATCATTTGAATATTGATAAAATAAAAAATTAAGTATTTGTATTGATAAATTATAAGCTACATAATTGTAGATATCAAATTAAAGCCAATAATGCAATTTCATCATGTTCATATAAATGACATACTGTGTAAAGTTCTTACGTAAATTTTGATACTTTTATACACATTAAAACATTTGTTTCGCACCAACAAAATAGTTAATAACAATAAACGTAACATAACGGATAAACATGTAGATAAGAAATACAAAAAGTAAAATAACAAGATTAATGTTTATAATGTTATTTTATAAACTGTAAGATTTTATAAAATTTTGTTTTCATATAAACTTCAAATAAAATTGTGATATTTTCAGTAGGATTAGTGCGTTTTTTAAAAATAAAATTAGTTTTAAATATATACAACGTAATAATTTATAAAATAACTCAAAGCAACATATTTTGATACATCATTTATTTTTCACCTTATTTTATTTTACATTACGTCACATACTTTTTCAGTAAAATGTATTTGGGTGTTTTTCCGATTGGAATACCCCTTCGGTTGAGTTGAAATTGTACAGACGATATATAATGATTGTTTATGAAGATCTCATCTTCGAGTTTTGTGTAAAAGTTAAAAAAAAGGTGGTTTCACATGGGAAGTCTCGCCGTCAGGCGAGAGAGAGAGTGTTGAGATCTTAATACTGTATATAACAAAAATAAGACATTATTCTTTAAAAATTTTTTGTTAACAATTTTTTAACGAATAACGAGCAATGGCTAAAATCTCTTGTTACTCAGGGTCATGAGTTTGAAAACATACGTCAAAGTCAAGATCATCGGAAAGATCTTTCCCAATCAGCATACTTATCAGCATAATTTTCTTTCTTATTTTTATCTTTTAAACTATACAAAACTCGAAGATAAGATATTCATAAATAATTACTATATATTGTAACAATATCAGCTCAATCAGAAGGGTGTCCCATTCGGAAGCACAGCCAAGTATTTTCAAACATCACTTCCTTTCATTTAGAAGTAATCCTATGATAATAATGTTAAGAATAATTTACATATTTATGAAAATTCATGTATGTATAATATATTTACATTTATACATATTCGTACATGAAAAATTTTTTACCGGGATGTAGCAGACACAATAAAGATTTGTTAATTTGCAACGAGCAAAGAGTTAAAGCTGATATCATCATATAATATTAATTAGAAAACTTTTGGGTCAGAACTACTGGTATATTATAATATAAGAATAAGCTGTACGAGCAGTTGCCTGCAATGACGCGCGTCAGCGATATCGCAAACGCTCTTAAGTTAGTCACATCAGACGTAGATTTACAAAGGAACTGTAGCGAGATTTGCAAACAACATGGAATATTGATCGATATTGTTGTCTATAGTGGTCAGTGTGATGAGTATTCATTTTCTTTTTAGAAATTTTAATTTCTTTGAAAGACGTGGTGTTATACATATACCGCCTGTTCCAATTTTCAGAACCATGACACATCGATTATATTTTACCGAATATCATTCATGGATTTCCTCCTAAAGATATACAATTTCAATCCAAATGCAAAGTATGTTGGTTTCTACATAGGCATAACTCCAATCTTCTTTCTTCGCGATCCAGACCTCATAAATGATATCCTTGTTAAGAACTTTGAGTTATTTCCAAATCGTAATGGTTTTTCTGAGTTGAATGACCCTTTATTTGAAACAAATTTATTTTCTATTCATGGAGAAAAATAGCGGAACGTAAGAACTCTGTTAAGTCCCTCTTTTACGTCTAGCAAGATGAAAATGATGTTCACGTTGATGTCAGAATGTGTTGTGGATTTTGCAAAATTTCTATCGTCATCGTCAGTGTATGAAGGGAGTATATACATGAAAGACGTTTTTTCTAAGTATACAACCAACGACATGTGCTTTCGGAATCAAGATGAATTCCATAAAGGATCCAACAAATAAATTTTACGTTAATGGCAAGGAAACATCAAATTTCAATGAGATTCGTGCTTTCAAATTAATTTTTCTCAAAACTTTTCCGAGACTCAGGCGAATAGTGAATATAAAATTTATGAATGAATATGTGACGCGCTTTTTCAAGGATATTATAAAGACTACAATCGCTACGGGTGATACAGAACACATTACACATCTGGATGTGCTACAGTTAATGATGGATATCGGAGGCAAAGGAGGTCGTACAGAACTAGACATCGACGATATGCGCGCAATATCGACGGCTGCGCAAGCGTTCATCTTTTTCCTTGATGGCTTCGAGTTTAGTTCAATAGCGATGTCGTTCATAGTTCATGAAATCGCAACTAACTCAGAAGTTCAAACCAAATTACATCAAGAGATCGATAAGGTTTTGGAGGAGTCGCACGGAGAAGTGTCTTACGAATTCATTAATCAAGTGGAATATTTAGACGCGATGATGAACAAGACTCTGAGATTATATCCACCAATTTCCACATTAGGAAGGGTATGCGAAAAAACTTATGAATTACCATTCGCATTGACGAACAAAAAACCTTTTTATCGTAAAGAAGGGTATGATCTTTTGGATTCCGGCATTCGCAATCCAACGTAACGAAAAGTATTATAATAATCAGGAAAAGTTTGATCCAGAAAAATTTTTAGATGACAAGATGCACAGTTCTTTATGGTACCTGCTATTCGGATTAAGACTTTGAATGTACAATTTTCTTTTACCTAACAATCGAATCTTGATCAAAATTACAACTTTGTCAGGTAGTAAGGTTAGACAACGCTTGTTGATTGTTGGAGATCCTTTCGCGTTGCCGAAAAGGTGATCAGTGTAAGTACTGCTTGTCACGTCCATTCACTGTAACATGTTCGTATCTCGATCGGGGTCTTATTTCTGTGGAGGACGTAGTAAGTGAATCGAGCCGAGTTGCACAATTTCTCCCTACTCGCCTCCCTCTCTCTTCCTCGCGTCCTCTCTTGTATCGAGCGATGGAGGAGAGGAAAACGCCACGAGAAGAGAACACAACCTGCACTCCCGTCTAATGAATAGTTGGGTCAGACTGCTGCCTTGGTAAATGCTGAGAATTAACCGTCTGCTTCTTGACATTTTGCTCGGAAGAAGATCCTCTCCTCTCGTGGAGACTCTTTCTCGCGATCTGTCTAGCTTTGCTGTACGCTGTACTCTCCTTACCCCTTCTCTTCTTTTATTACCAGCCATTAGATCGCACGATGTAACGGTGTAAAACTCAAAGAAATTTTATAAACTATAATATTGTAATAACAAAAAATGTTATTTTTATCCCCCTAAATAAATTATTATTTCTCGGTAGTTAATATTAATCGAAATTCTTCGTGGACTATTCTAAGAAGATAGCTATTAATCCTTGTTTGGATATATATAGCACGTATTTATCTAGCTTAATGTGAATAGCAAAAGATATAATAAGGATAATAAATAATGGTGTTAATGTACAGTCGTACGATTCGAACAAAGGTGAACATCATTCTTCTGAATAATATTACGTCTCTACCATTAAATAAAAAAAAAAAAAAATTATATAAAATAATTATAATAAATTTCAAATAAAACCATTATTCACATTCGTTGATACGACACGATGATACTAACAGCTAAAATCTCCGTTTAATGATTTCAATAAAAATCGAAGTCCATTTACGCGAGAGAAGATTCTCCACTTTCCAAGATCTCTTTTCCTTTCGTTTTTTTTAACCTATCATCCTTTTTATCAGAAGTCGTTTGATAACGACCGATAATCAGAAAAAAAGACGCACCGAAGAACGCGTTCGCCCGAAATGGTCCAAGACCGTTTAACCGCGGAAGATTAGTCGCTTAATAGCCGCATCTCTTTTCTCGCAATAGGAACAGAAGGTATGTAGCCACGATATGTAACTGGTTTTTCAAAGAAACTATCATTCCGCGT